CAAAAAAATAAAACAAAAAGCCAGGTGTGGTGGTGCACTCCTGCAATTGCAGTTTCTCAGGAGTTAGAGGCCTGAGGATGGCAAGTTCGTGGCCAGCCTAGGCAAAGTAATCAAGACAATATGTCAAAAATGCAAAACAAAGGACTCAAGTGGTAGAGTACTGCCCAGCATGTACCAGGCCCTCAGTTCAATCCCTACCCCCACCCCCAAAAAAGTGCTGATGAATATATGGAGAAATGGGAACCTTTATGCAACATTTTTGGGACTGTAAAGTGGTACAACCTCTGTGAGAAGCAGCATGGCAGTTTCTCAGAAAACGAATAATAGAATTACCATGTAATCCAGCAGTTATTATACTTTTGGGTATGTACCCAAAAGAGTTGAAAGCAGGGTCTCTCACAGGTATTTATATCCCCATGTTCACAGCATTTGCCACAGTAACCAAAAGGTGGAAGCATCCCAAGTGTCCGTCAGCAGATGAATGGATAAACACATTGTAATGTATTCAGATGGCTGAATATTAGTCTCAAAATAGGAAATTTTGGCACATTCTACCACATGGACGAATGTGAGGACATTGTGCTAAGTGAAATAATCCGGTCACAAGCAGACACATATAAGTGTGACTCTATTTATATTAGGTGTCTAGAGTGGCCATGTTCCTCAAAACAGGAAGAATGTGGTTGCCAGTGGCTAAGGGGAAGAGGAAATGGGGGAGGTATTTAATGGGGTCAAGTTTCAGGTTTGGGAGATGAAATAGTTCTGAAGATTGGTTGCACAACACTGTGATCTTGCCTAAACCATTCTGACCATACACTGAAAAACCAAAATTAAACATTCTTTAAGTCAGTGAAGAAAAAAGTTATATAGTCAGAATGTTCTAAACTGATCATTATAGTCTTTATTATAAATGAAAGTGTTAGGTGATTAAATTCAAATGTTTTAAAATATATTAATTTTTTTAAATCAGAAAAAAATGTATAGCAGTACAGAAGGCAGAAGTACAGTGCATTGTTTTTATACTGATCTTTATATACTTTCAAACTTTTTAAATTGCCTGTAGTTACACAGATACAAAAATTACTTATTTAGGGACAGCTACATTTTACAGTTGTATGTGTACATACTCTTACTTGATATTTTGTTACAAGTGGAATAGGACTCCTGAAATTAATAAAGTAAATTGAGCTAGTAAAATTAAAGCCCAGATCAAATCTAAGAATAAGTTGCCTTTATATATTTTTGGTGTAGTTTACCTACAAGATAAACTAAGACCCTATAGATCAGGAACCTGTTTCTTTCTCTGGCCTAGTAATTCTGCTTCCAGGAATTCCACCTGAGAAAATGTGGTAGAAACCGCTTAACTGCAGCCTAACTTTTGATCTCATCCTGTCTGCAAACACCCCAAGTGTTACGGCTGTCTTCCGTTCCATAATGCAGTCCCATACTCTGTTGCCTACACTTGTGGCAGGGGGGCCTTATCCATGCTCTCCAGCCACAGTTCAGGGACATGACACATGTAGGGTTGAACTGGTTGGGTTCATTGCTTGTGAGGGAAAGTGATGGCATGGGGCTCCATGGACCATAGTAACCACATTACAAAGGTCTGCTTATAGGATTGGGGCTGTGCTGGGTGAATGGGGGGCTTTAAATAAGTGGAGCCTTGCTCTGGATTAGGTGTGGTTAGATGTAGTGGGATCCTGTGTTTGGGTGAGACTAGGGCCATAACTGGTAGAGAAGCAGCAGTCCCACGTTAGCCAGGAGAGGAGAGTGTTTGGTATTTATAGGGTGCACAGTGACCTTATTTTTTGTTCAGGTGTAGACAAAAAGTTTCAGTATACTTGTTTTGTCTTCATTTATCATGGTCCTACAGTGACCTGGTCTGCTGTTGCTGTTTTGTGAGGTTATTTATATCAAGCAGGCCTTGCTACGAACCCCAGGCCAGCTTCAACCCACACTGAGGCCTTTGTTTTGTGTGTCTGAGCATTTCTAGGTGTTAGGGACTTCTTTTTTCTTCCCCAGACTCTTAATAGTCACTTAGAACCTAATTATACCCATTGCACTTTTTGTAATTATTTCATTAGATATTACATAAAACACCAAAATTAATGTGAAAACAAAAAAAAGGAATATTGCCTGGGACTCCTTTCAATTTAATCAGCAGGCTGATATTTCCAGTCTGTATGGCCAAGTATTGATATCACCCAGGAGTTAGCCTTTCACTGACTTCCCACCCCACCTGGTGAGACAGATGTCCTTGTTTGTATGTTACGTTAGCATTTACAAGGTTTTGTTTAAAAAATAAAAATAATGTGTTCTTTCTCCACTAGCCACACATACTGCATTGCATGTTCCTTGGCAGGAAAAAGGGAAAGCCCTGCCTTTGTATTAGTGCCTAGCTCAGCCCTCATATCTTAGTAATTGACCACGTCTTGAGCAAAAGTATGATTATCCGTAATATCCCCCCCATATGCAGATTCCTTGAGGGAATGTGTAAAGTAGTTGTCTTAAGACATCAGTTAAAGAAAAGAACAAAAAGGTTCCCAGTGGCTGACACTAACACAGCACAGGGTTGGAAGAGCTTCAGCGGCAGAAAAGCAGTCCATCAACAGAGGCTTTGCATTTCTTCCCACCATTCTAGACCATTTTCACTGCAGAGCCATTTGTGCTGCACATACTCTTGGGGGACAGCTATCAAATATAAGATGAATATTATCTTTGCACTTCTAGGGATTTGCTCTCCAAATATACTTGCATAAAGTAGGCAAAAATATGGGCAGGTAGCCTCATTACAGCACTGTTAGTAGTAGTTTCTCTATGGAAGATTGCAATACTATGCAGCCATTACAAGTGAGAATCAGACCCAGGCATGGTAGTGAACGCCTATAATCCCAGCACTCAGGAGGCTGAGATAGGAAGATCAAGAGCTTGACGCCAGCCTGGGATACATAGAGAGACCCTGTCTCAAAAAAGAAAAGAGAAGAGCCAATAGGTCTGTTGGTTGGTCATGGGGATGATGGCAGCTTTCCTTTATTGAAGACATATTATTCACCAGGCACCATACCATGCATTTGACATTTTATTTGATAATTCTTACAATAGCTGTATAGTAGTTACTGTTATCTAAGTTTTGCAGGTGAGGAAACTGAGGAACAGAGGTTAAACACTTTGTCCAAGTTCTACAGCTAGTAAAGGGCAGACCGGGTATTCAAATCCAGCACTTTCATAAGCATTTTCTTCTGGTGGTACGGGGGTTTGAATTCATGGCCTTACATATTGTCAGTCAGGCACTCTACCACTTGAGCCACTCCACCAGCCCAAATCCAGCACTTTTAACCTCTAAAATGCATATCCTTTCTACTGATGGATAAAGATCTAGATACATAGTAAATATATAGAAAGCAATTCAGAATTGAATGTGTAGGGTGCTATCATCTATGCTTTGAGTTTGTTTGAAAAGTAACAGCACACACTGGAACGATATAAACAATGCAAAAGAAACCTAACAGTGACTTTCCAGGAAAGGCTGGGTAACAGACATGTCTTACATAAAACTCTAACTAAAATAAGTGGAGCTAATAGCTTTGAAAAGTTGTAATACTTAATGAAGACTAAACTGAAGTCATGAGTAAGAAATGGTTTATCATACCTGTGTACATACTGCCATGTAGGGTCCCCTAGCATCATGGCTCTCTTAGCCCACGATAGTATCACCTCCAGATACACTACTCTGGGGTTCATTGCTTATCTGATCCCACTTTGAATATTTGACATAGCATCTCAAGTGTGCCTAAATTTTTGTTATTTCCCAAAAGATTTGAGACAGCTTATAGTGAGATAGTTAATGAGGGCCAGGCAGAGTGGTTATAATCCAAGCTACTCACAAGGCTGAGATTGGGAGGATTGCCAATCCAAAAACAGTTATCAAGCCCCCATCTCAAACAAGTTGGGCATGCTGTCATGTGCCCATAATTCCAGCTATGTAGGAGGATCGGCAGTCAAGCCAGCCCTGGGCAAAAGCATGAGACCCTATCTAGAAAAATAACTAAAGCAAAAAAGGGGTGGCAGTGTGGCTCTAGTGGTAAAGCACCTACCTAACAATTGCAAGGCTCAGAGTTCAAACCTTAGTACCACCCTCCAAAAAACAAATATTCTGATATTTTGTTTTGTTGTGGTTCTGGACTTGAATTCAAGGCCTCACTAGGCAAGTGTTCTACCACATACATCCCTTTTTGCTTTAGTTGTTTCTCATATCGGGTCTTGTGCTTTTTGCCCAGGCTAACACAATCCTGGACCATACCACCCTTGTAGCTGGGATTTTAGACATGTACCACCATGCCCAGCTTGTTTATTGAGTTAGGGCTCAGTTACTTTTTGCCCAGGCTGGCCTTGAACTGTGATCCTCTCCCAAGTAGCTGGGAAGGCCCACTGCCTTGCCATTGCCCACTGCCGTGAGCTTTGTAATTCTTGTGATTTGACAAAAAGACATCTTTTTGTTTGAAGAAACATTTTCTTCTAAATTTTGAGAAGAATTTGTTTCATGAACACTTTTAAGCAATTTATTCTTTTCTGGTTTCTTCATTGTTTGTTTTCTACCCAACTGATTGCAAGCTTCCTAGGACAAACTCCATTTTCTGTACAGTTTTGACCCCTCTCTGCTAGAAAGTATGCACTTCTTACTGTGGTCAGAATGATAAATTAGGCAACAATTTTAGCACAGCACATTTCACAGATTGTGTCACCACCACTTTCCAAAGACTGAATTTTTGAGTAGTTGAGGGGTTGGTACTGCTTTCTTCCTCAACAGGGAATCTTCTCTCATAGCCTTCTAGAAAAATCATAATTTATTTCTCTGTGTGTAGCTTTTACTGAGTTCTGGTATCTTGCAATGCCTAAATCCTAACTGAGCACATAATGTGAAGAATTAAAAATTTGCCTCAGCTTTTGTTTTATGAAGACATCTTTTTAAAATATGGCCTCTACCTTTTCTTTTCTCCTAGGCCAGGTTATCAAGGCATGGGACATCGGGGTGGCTACCATGAAGAAAGGCGAGATCTGCCACCTGCTGTGCAGGCCAGAGTATGCATATGGCTCAGCTGGCAGCCTCCCTAAGATCCCCTCCAATGCAACTCTGTTTTTTGAGGCAAGTTTGTGTGTGTGTGTGTGTGTGTGTGTGTGTGTGTTTTGCCCTGTCAGCATGGCTCTGCTGCAGCAGGCGGGATGAGGAGCTAAGCTTACTGTCAAGAATCAGGTCCAACTTATTTATTTTGGAGCTTGGCTTCTTGAATTGTTTCCCACAAACCAAGGGGTGTGTGCCAGTGCTTTCTTAGAAATGTGTCTCTGGCACACAAAGGGCAAGTCCAAATAAACAAAAGACACAGATGTAGAAAGGAGGTTTGGTCAGTGGTGTGAGTGAGACATGCTTGGCACTGACAGACCAGAGGCAGCCGTGATAGATGTGCAGTGTGTCATACCACGTTACGTTACAGAGGTTTGTGACAGTCGGCTCTCCCCCTCATTATGAGTTGTTGGTGGTGGTGTGTTATTCATGCTGAGTCCAGTTAGGTACACAGATTTGACAAAACCTGATTTTAAGAAGTACCCTACCAAGATAAAGCACATCTTTAGTCAGTTGTAGGCCAGATTCCTAGGGTTTATTCTTACATTTTAAGACAGGAACTTCACAAATCTGGGGTGGAAAAGCGGTGGCCTCAGAGTCAGACAAAATAGTTGTGCGCCAGCACCTTGTAGTGCTGGCTTTCTGCCCACAAGGCAGTGTTCCTAGTATTTCCTGTCTGCCTGTCTTTGCACTGCAGCCCCACAGGATGTAGTCCTAGACATTATCATTGCACAGAGTTCTTTCCAAGTATCTAAAGTGCAGTGTGCTTTTTTCTACTCTAGTAACTAAAATGCATAGATAAATACATAATTTTAAAACAGGATTTTATTTTATAAGAATAAAAAAAGCCTTTGCCTTTACATGTTAAGTTGGCTCTGATCTTTTCTCAGTTAAATCTTTTTTCTCTCTAGATTGAGCTCCTTGATTTCAAAGGAGAGGATTTATTTGAAGATGCAGGCATTATCCGTAGAATCAAACGGAAAGGAGAGGGGTACTCGAACCCAAATGAAGGAGCAACAGTAGAAAGTGAGTATTCCTGCAGAGGAAGTGGTTCCAAAAAGCTGGGCTCTGATTATGTGGGTGAAATGGAGATAGAGATAAACCTTTTGAGTATATCTCAAGAACAGTTTTAGGTTCAAGATTTATCTAGTAACGACTTCATTTAGTAAGTATTAATTTAATATGCATGTGCCAGGCACCCTGTAAACTCAAAAATGAATAAAAGGCAGTCCTGTCCACCATAGGATTCTCAGTCTTTGGGGCACCAACAACTACCTTAGCTGCCTCACATAGTTACTCATTTATTTCTCACAGTACCCTTATGAGATGAGATTGATTATCCCCAACTGAGGAAAGTGAGTTCAGAGATGTCATATAAATTGCCAAGGCAACAGAGTTAAACACAACAGCAGGTTGTGATCCCTGCAGGGCTCTCAGACCCATCTCGCTGGCCACCATCAAGATACTGAACAGCTCGTCATTAGGTCAGAGTTGGACAGTAAAGTTCATGCTATTCTGTATTAGGCGTCCTGAGATCCAGTTCTCCTTTGCCAGTTACAGAGCCAACCTGGACTTACTTCATTTCCTCATTTGCTAAGTGGGAGTAAGGACACTGGGGCTACTGATGACCCTTTCTCCTTCCCTGAGCCAGTTGCCACTTTATCTTACAGTCAGCATTGCCCGTCTTCCCTGGCACATAGTGAGTGCCTGGGGATCAGGATGGTGTTTCATCATCTCGTTTGCAGCCTCAACTAACTACATGCCTGACACACATTTGATGTGTGTGTCATTATACATGATGGTGCCATCATTTACCTGAAATCCCTCAACGGGGGATTGTGAGAAAACAGAGAAATACTTATATTTAAGAGAGAAAAATCGGGGGCTGAAGGTGTAGTTCGAATGATAGAGTGCTCATTAAGCAAGCACAAGACCATGAGTACAAATCCCCATACTGCTAGAAAAAGAAAAGAAGAAAAGAAAAAGAAGAAAGAAACTGGGACTAAGGATGTGGTTCAAGAGTTCCATCCCCAGTGCTGCCAAAAAAAAAAAAGAGAGAGAGAGAGAAATCAAAGGCCAGGTGCAAGTGGCTCACATTGTGATCCCAGCTGCTCAGGAGGCAGAGATTGGGAGAATCATGGTTCAAGAATGGCCAGGCAAAGAAATTAGCAAGATCCCTGTCTCCACAAGAAGTTGATGTTGTGCACCTGTGTTCCTAGGTACACAAGCATAGGTAGAAGGATTGCAGTCTGAGGCTGGCCCCAGGCAAGAGTGCAAGACATTATCTGAAAAATAACTAAAAAGTGGAAGCACTGGGGGCATGGTTCAAGTGGTAGAGTGCCTGCCTAAGCAAGCACAAGGTCCTAAGTTCAAACCCCAGTACCACCCAAAAAAAAAAAAAAAATCCAAATCATTGAACAGGAACATGAACTATTATTATAAAAGGCCTATCTAAAATAGTTTAAGCTGGGTGTGGTGGTACATACCTATCATCCCAGGTACACAGGAGGCATAGGTAGGAGGATTGTGGTCTCTAGGGGACAGTCCCAGGCAAAAAAGCAAGACCCTGTCCAAACAATAATGAAAGCAAAAAAGGGCTGGGAGTGTGCATCATGCTCAGCAGACATGAGGCCCTGAGTTTCAATCCCCAGTGCCATCAATAAAGTAAAATGGAGTTCATTTAAAACAGCTAACTAGAATAACTCCTTCTATTTTTAAATATTTAATAACATTCTATTTTTAATATTGTATATACTACTTGGGGCCCTATTTCAAGTCTTAACAAATTAGTTCAAATTTAGTTGTTTTTTTTTATTGGAAGCAGTTATAAATATGGCAGCTCTAATGTTGCCATTGAAATGTCATTCATGGTAAGTTTTCGAATATATGCAGAAGAGCTGAGATGATTGATAACCCCAGATTGGGAACAAGAGATCCAGTTCCAGGCTCCATTGCAGCTCTGACGACCTCAGGACATTAGCTTCCTTCCTAGACAGTGAGGCCCAGCTGGACTTCCTGGTTTTTAAGGTTCTGTTAGCACTCAAATCTATGAGAGAATTGAAATGCTTGTGAAAGCATTATTAACAGGCATATAAAGGCTTGTATATAACATGTATTTTAAATTTTTATAAAATTTTTCAAGCCTATATACCAGTTTTTTTTCCTATGATAACAGAATCTCCCCCAGATTCAGCAGTTTATATTTTTGTTTGGTTTGGTTTTTTGTTTGTTTTACTGGAATTTGAACTCAGAGTCTCATGCTTACTAGGCAGGCACTCTACTATGTAGGCCACATCCCCAGCCTTATGATTTGTTTTTACACTGAAGAGTTTTGTCAACTGAATTAAGAGGAGAAACTTCCCAATTATAGACACCACCACAAAATACCACTGTAGAGACGACTTGGAGTAGGCCAAATAAAATCTTGGTTTTGATAATATTTTTAACAGGACTTGTCTTTAACTTTTTGAAATTATTACAGAAAGTTCCCTGTATGCTTTACCCAGCTTCCCCTAATCTTAAAATCTTAACCTGACCATAGGAAATACATCAAAGTTATGAAAATAACATTGATACAATATAATTAACTATTTTACAGACTGTCTTTTTTCTGGTCTAGGATCACGTTCAGGTCCAGCATCTGGACCCTGAACTGTAGCTAGTTGTTATATCTCTTTATTCCTGTACAGTTCAGTTTTGTCTGGTGTTCTAGGTGATTAGATTGAGTTGTGCACTTTTGGAAACTACCATGTAAATGATGTTTTTGCCCTTCTCAGTTCATCATGAGAAGGTACATGATGTTGATGTCTCATTACTGGTGATGTTAGCTTTAGGTCATTTGTTAACGTAGAATCTACCATGCTTCTCTAGTGTCCTTGCTAAATATCTCATCAAGAAGGAAATAGAGGGAACTGCAAATGTCTTGCTTTCTAATATACCATCAAGCGTTCATTCCAGCATCCATCCATGATTTTTGCATACAGCAGTCACCACGGTGGTGTTTGACTAATGGTAGTTTTCTGTGGCCAGAGTACTTCCACATTTGCTGTGGGAAAGGAGAACAGAGGTTCCTTAGAAGTGGTCCCTGTTCCAAGATCACCTTGTTCTTTTTGAAGTCTTCTTGGTTCTTACTGGTTTGCTTTCTCTTTATAGCATCACCCATTCTCTTGAGATTCAAAACCAGCAACTAAAAGCCAGCCCTAAAGTAAAAGAACAGTTGACCCTGATCACCTATTACTGCATATTGTTAGATACATAAGAGTTTCTAAGTTTCTGTCCTTTGTGTGTAAAGGTACATGGAAATAGTGGGGCAGAGGGGACATACATGTTTTGAAGTGATGGACTTGACGATTTTTTTTCCTTTTTCCTTTTTTTTTTTTTTTTGGGTGTGTGTATGTGGTTGTGTGGGTGTGGTACTGGAATTAAACCCAGGGCCTTGTGCATTGGACAAGGGTTTGGTTTTTGGCAGTACTGGGGTTTGAACTCAGGACTTCACTCTTGCAAGGCAGGCGCTTTACCACTTGAGCCAGCCCTCCAGCCCTGGGCTGGGTTTTAAGTCTTGGAATTACTGCCTGTTATTTTCATGTCTTTAGACATCTACTTAGACATGCCACCTTGAGCATACAGTCTCCACATCTATAAATTGAGAATAATAATCTTTTCTTGTACAGGTTGCTGTGATAGTTATGAAGAAAGGTGTCTCACACATGATGGGCATTTAATTCCTTTTTCCTGCCTCTGTAATGTCTTTCCAATTTGTTTTGCTTCCTTTAAACGGATTTAAAGAAAGGAATCCTTGACTACTTTTATTTCCCATGTCTAATCCGTGGTCAATTTTCCTCTAGTAACAGTCTTCATTTTAATTTTGTATCTCCTTAATAGTAATTTGATCTAAATCACATTTCTCTAATCTTTTGTTTTTTTGAAGAGTAACCTGTACTGAATCAAAAGGCCTATTACTAAGTTAAAATCTTTTGCTTCCTTTTCATAATTTGTCTCTTGTGTGGAAGACAGAACTTAAATTAGACAGGATTTTTTACTTCTCAAAGAAATTTGATTTTTACCTATATATCAGAATCTTTGTGACTGCAAATCACTATTAGGTTCTGCTTCACTGCTTTTTCTTCTGTCAAGTAAGATGACTATTCTGCCCTTTTTCTTCAGTGTTGTCCTTTTCCCATTTGAAGAAAAGTCACTGTGTTCTTAGGTACTCCAAAAGACATGGTTGTGATGGCTAATATCTTAGTCTCTGTATCTTAGTAGGATTGCCAGTAGTGGCTACATTGCTACCTTTAAGCTTTGCTGTGTTAGAAAATCCAATGGGACTGATGCAAGGCTCTAAATAGCTTCCTCCAACTTATCTGATTTATACAGTGTCCATGGTTGGAACCAGCCCATTACAATGCTGGCTGTACAGCATACTCTCACCTCAGTGCTTTCAGCTATATTTGAATGCAGAGGATGCAGATGGCAGTATTTTCTAACATGGACGTTACAGGCGCAAATTGTGGGAGAATCTCCTTTTCCCCTCTCCTCCTAACCCACTGAAATGATAGGTGGAGCTGAACTTTCAAAAAGAAAAAATCAAAAATACTGTTAGAAAATGGAAGAATACAAGAATTTGTGAAATATTCCTGAAATACATAAGGTATATGAAATTGGACTGATGGAAATTAGATTCAGCAAACCCAACCCAAAGCAGTGTGGAAAAGACCTCTGCAGGGGTGCATACGGTTCTCCATGAGCGTGGGCAGAATTCCAAGTTCACAATCAGCTGGTGCACAGGAGCCAGAGTAGACTATGGGGCAGTCATCAGGACTGTGATAAAACAGTATGTACAGCTGGGTCAGGAACCCCTCTGCTGTGGCAGTTCTTAGCTTTGGCTGGAGTCTCAGGCCTCCAAACAGTTAAATAAAAATCTCAGAGGAAACACTTGCAGCACAAATTTTTTTTAAAACTCCCTAGGTGAGTCTAGTGTGGAGTCACAGTCTGAAAACTGCTACCCTAGGGTATGCCTGGCTGTGACT